CAGCAAGTTTTTGTCAGACAATTGTATCCATCTGGAACCATTTCCTCCCCCAAAAGCTGGTTTTATTTTCAAATCCTCATGCAAATAGGACTGGAATGCAGACAAAGCCTGCACTGCAGACAAAGCAATTTATTTGAGAGTTTTAGATGGAAATAACAAATAGTGCTTAAGACTTTAAGTTGTATGTATGGGAAACAGTGAAAGACCAGTGACTCAGTTTATAGCATAAGAATACATGGGTTCATTCTCCAAGCTGCAAGAAAAGTGAAAAGCTGCTAAAAAGAGCAGTTTCTCTTCCTTCATAGAAAAGAGAAGCAGTTTAATTTCTTGCATAGAAATCATCAGTCCATACAAAGTGACTGGAAAAGTAAAAGGAAGTGAAGCTCTTCTTCCATACCAGTCCCTAAGAATAATTGTTTGTCAAGCTTTTCTGTTTCACATATTTCACTGAGGAAACTTTCTTTATTCGCTCATCTAGACACAGAATTTTACCAGCAGTTATTTTTTTAACGTCAGTGCAAGAGTTCACATGAGAAAGGTTGCAGCTCTCCATATCATCACCATTAAAGCATAGGAAATCAGTTCCGGTTCATATGGGTCTCTCAGACCGAGATTTGTTCTACACTGGAATTTGTTCCAGTGTTTGAAAATAAGTGGGGTTTTTTGCAAATGTTACACATTGCAGTAGAGTAGGTGGGTAAAACTATTAGCTAGGCCAGTGGCACAAGGCATGAAAAATTGTGTTCACACGTCTGCTCTCCTTAGAGGAGAACATCCCACAATAACAATTTCAAGCACATTTTCCACCCTCAGCCCTTGCTCTGATCCTAGAAGTAGTTCTTTCTTCTAAAATGCTCTTAACAGAATTTTGTCAAACACTGAAGTTACTACAAAAAAAGTTGAGTGATGCTGGAAAAGCATATTTCAAGAAAAAAAAAGTTCTCTGAAAATATAGCATCTAGTTCTAATCAGTGTGTAGATGAATCGGGCTCTATTCCAGTACCAACACAGACCTGCCAATGCACAGGCTATTTCTTCTTTCTCATGACATCTCCTCCCAGCATTCTCACAGGATTGGGCAAGAAGGTCATTTTAAACCAGTTTTGGCATAAAAATGATTTTCCATTACAAAGGGCTGATTCATTGAAGTCAAAAACAGTTCACAAGAATAGTGTAGATTTCAGTAAGTCTCCTGGTAAAAGAATCGGGGAATACTTTTTAAGACCATCTTTTATATTCCTATTAGATAATTAATGCATTTGTTGGGTTTGTTGGGGTTTTTTTTAATTAAAAAGAAGTCTGAAAACACCACACCTAAAAATGGTCACAGTTTAAAAGGTTGATTGATCTGGGACAAAAGTTACTTAACCTTTTCGGTTTTGTAGTTCATCACAATTCAGAATCGTGTCTTAATCCTAATTCTTGCTGGGTAATTTTATTTAACACTTTCAGGAGATAGAAAACAATTTACCATCTAGTGATTGTGATATTTTATTCTCCCTATACACTTTTCCCTTTGTGTGAAAGAATTCAGTGAGCAATTCCAATATACTACATGCCAGATTGTTACAGTTTTGCAATAAACTCTCATCAATATCCTCTCTAAATTACCCAGACACTACTCCTGCTCTCAGGTCTGCTCTGTTTTCCGTATAGCTCTAGTCAGCCATAGCACTATTTGATTGATCATTTAGACCTCTCCTAGATTTTTCTTCAAACACAGTCTTGTAGTTGAGGTCTGATTCAAGATCATCTGTCCCTGAACCTGCCACTGCCGTTGCGCTGGACATGTCTCTTCAGCTGTTGATATCCGAATTCCCTTTGTTATAAAATGGGATGGGGAGGCAGCCAGACTCTAGTATAAGCCAACTTTTCTGGAGCGTTTTATCTTCCATTGTAAAAATCAACCCACTTTGGCCTTCCTGAGAAAGAGACATCAAAATGAATGTTATTGAGAAACCTCAATCCTGACGTCTTCTGCTTCCCTTTGGTCTCCATGTGGATGCCCCATTAACACTAATGTCAGGCATCCAATGCAAACTGGGATGAGACACCCACAGTAAGGTCCCAAGAGGAGAGGCAGGCCCTCCGTACAAAGTGTGGTTGCTCTGGCAGACACTCTTGATTTAAATAGCATTTTCACTTGGGCCTTTTTAACCTGAAATTCATTTTTTTTTTTTCCCCAGATTTTAGGCTGGTGTGTGATAGTTACCACAGCTCTTCTTTCGCTGCTAACCACTTGCTGTGCCAGCTGCCAGTCAAAAGTCAGCCACCTCCAGCTGATGTTCTGGAAGGTGTACACAGAGAAGGAGAAGGAGCAACTGGAGCAGATTTTCCAGCTTTATGCCACCAAGCTGAGCGAGCGAAACCTGGAGTGTTTTTTTGAGAACAAAGAACCAGAAGCGATTCCCCTGCCAGCTTTTCAGGCATGGGAAGATGCTTCTCAGCTCTATTCTTTCAGCAGTAGCAAACAGCATTATAGCACAATTCATAGGCTAGTTGAAGAAGGCCAGAAAGAAATCCATGAGGAAAGAGAGACAATGCTGGACTTTGTAGACAGAAGGGAAATACCGTAGATCAAAGATATTTTCAGCTTTTTTATATCTTGCTAATACAGCATACTTCTAGCTAGTTTCATCTCTATATTTTTTCACAGTGGCCTCTCTCTTCTTCTTCATCACGTTCCTTACCAGTTACAAACCTGCTCCAAAAGGATGGAATAAAATTATTGCCCTACATCAGTGAAAAGGCTGCAGTCCTCCATGGCACCTAGGGTTCATGCTCTGCTAATGTCACTAGCTCCAGATCAAGAGCTGACAGCAAAAAGAGATGAATAATGACTTCTGCAGGAGGGTTTTAACAATATCCTATGTAAAAGGCGCTATAGTACGCTCACCCTATGTAAATCGAGAGACTATCATAAAGTAACACCATTTAAAAGGTGTGAATATAATAATAGAAATGTGTGTGGCTTTC